GCAGTCGTTGATCCAATGGACACCGCATTTCCTCCTAATCTTGTCATGGATAAGTGCATACAACGGTTGGATTCTGCACGGCCTTGAGAAGCTAGCTGTACTCCAGGATCCACTTGCCTGATTGGATCAACTGCTGGTCTTGAAGTGCCCAATCTGGCCTCACCGCCGCCTCGAAAGGCAACCTGACTGCGGTGTCGGTCAAGCAGTGTCGACAGAAGCGAAAGGCGCTGCGCAAATGCAGCCAGGCTCTGCAGGCCCAGAGCCGATAGAGGCTGAGATAGACAGCCTCGCGAATGCTGGTGCCCTCTCTCGGACGTATGCGTGACCGTACGCTCCTCGTTGCAACCAATGGCCATTCGCACAACAGAGCCTCGAAGCGCTTTCTGTAGGCGACTGCATAAACGCTGCACAAGCAACTTATGCCCTTAGATAGTAAAGCATACACCTTAAGTGGACCTAGGTGCAGTTGCAGAAAGTAGCGCGCCGATGCCGTGCTTCAATCCAAGATATTTGAATGTTACATCGCCTGCTCCTTGGTGGGGAGTGACAAGCGGCACGGAGAGAAGAGCCATAGAATCTTTCGTCGAGAGATTCAACAATCGAACGCCTTTGATGAGTGTGAATTCGGTAAATAATAGACATACCTGGCCCGAGTGCTAATCGACCAAAGCACGTTGTCTTCCCAGTCTTGATGCCTGTGGGATGCTTGAAGTTTACTGCAAGTACCCGAGTAGTGCCCGAGAAACGAGATTGGTTCTAGGCTTCACAGACACCTTTTAAAGCTCTCACAAGGCGATTAGACTCATGATTTTAGACAGAGCCGGTCTCTGCATTGCCTAGGCAGGCTTCGTAGCCGTCAACATTTAGTGGGCCTGTAGGCCATAAAACAATTGCCTGTATGTGAACGCTCTGGAAACCATCGATGCCTGGTTTGCCAGGGAATTGATTTGGTGTAGACTTCACGTAGCCTATAGCATTGACCCAGGTGCCGACTGAAGTGTGGTCTGCTCCCAAATGCTCAAGCAACAGATTGACGTCGACCATGGCCTTAACATTTGCTTTGGAATGATAATCATGCTCCAGCGTCAAAACACCGGTTGCACTTGAGTAGGATGTGACGCTATGAAGGTATCGACTATTAGCGCTGACCTCAAGCTTAGACAAGGCTGAAGGTGGTGGGTGTACTATGCCAACGGAAACCACACAGTTGCCTTACCATCCCAGGAATCTGACCTTATCACCGGCAGATCTTTGTGGTAATGAAGACAATAGGCAAATACTGGATGGGAGCGGCCCATTTGACATGATGGGTCAATGCTGACAGTAACTGCTGTCAGGAGGGGCAAGTGACCATATTGCGTAGAAAGATGTAGCTGTCTGAGAGTGTGATGCCGATGAACAATCGACCGCAGAGATCAGTCATTCCCTTGATGTGAGATTCACATCATTCATCATTGAGAAGAAAATCGCGTTCAAAGACATATATTCCAGACTTCTCCAACTAACCGCATGGAAATGAGAAGAGGAGAGAATGGTATTGGTATCGTCTCCCCTTCTTCCAGTCCATGTTTTGGATGGAGGCACGTGCCTTTGTCACATGATTCCAGCCGGGTAAGCTCCGGCAAAAGCCGTTTGTCAAGGTTCCAAGGTTGCCCAGGCGGCAGGTCAAGCAAAGCTAGCGCCGTCATCACCCGCTACGCATTGAGCCTGACGAATGTGCCTCTGCTTGCTTGCATCATACCTCCCGCCATTGCCTAGACCACCCTGACTCTTCCAGAGCGACTTCGCAACGTCAACTCACGGTGACGATACGTCTCAAACGACGTGACAAACACCATCTTCTCGATCAACGAACTAATATCACTGCCAACTACGGTCTCGCCAGAGTCGCGAGACCCCCCTCGCACGCCCTCGACCCCGCTATCAGCCAGACCTGTGTGGTGGAGGCCTTTGATCATCTGCCACCAGGCACCCAACTTGCAAGCGACCTGACGCATCTTTGCGCCATAATATTCGAGCCGTCAGCCATCTTGTTTCAATATCTAGTCTTCATATACCGAGATGTCGGGAGTCTGGGGCTGGTTCGGCGGCGGTGCCGCGCAGAAGCGAAAGGACAGCCCAAAGAATGCCATCTTGGGTCTACGAGCGCAGCTGGACATGTTACAGAAGCGCGAGAAGCATTTACAGAACCAGATGGATGAGCAAGATGCCATAGCACGGAAGAATGTCAACACAAACAAGAACGGTAGGTCAGATCACCTTATCGTGCGCAAGCTTTGTATGCTAACGGGTTGTATCCGATAGCTGCGAAGGCTGCACTAAAGCGCAAGAAGGCCCACGAGCACAGCCTTGAACAGACGCAAGCGCAGATTGGAACCCTCGAACAGCAAATAAATGCTATCGAATCGGCGAACATTAATCGAGAGACCCTAGCGGCAATGGAACGTGCTGGCGAGGCGATGAAGCAAATACATGGCAAGCTGACGCCGGAGAAGGTGGACGAGACAATGTACGTGTTCTACATTAGTAAAAGATATAGTTGCCTGACTGACTGTTGTATTACAGGGACAAGCTTCGCGAACAGAATGCCCTCAGCGAGGAGATCGTCAATGCCATCACGAGCAACCAGATCGGGGAGGCGATCGACGATGCCGACTTGGAAGACGAACTGGAGCAGATGCAGCAGGAGCAGCTGGACGAGCAAATGCTCAAAACAGGCACTGTCCCCGTATCAGATCAGATCCAGCACATGCCGGCAGCAGCAAATGGAGAGAGTAAGCTTGTCATATATCCTACTACCATTAACAATTCCGCTAATACGATGCCACTAGTCAAGGGCAAGCAGCAGGCAATCGAGGAAGACGACGAAGAGGCAGAGCTCAGGAAGCTGCAGGCCGAGATGGCCATGTGAGCGGTCAAGCAATACCCACATGTTCAATTCGCCTTTGAGTGATGGATATAGCATTTACAGGCCGGGGTGGATTAAGCTGAGATTTTGCATGGTTCATAATTGATCTGCGGTAACGTTGAGGTCGGTGAACGAAGAAGAGGATGACTCGACCTAGTGGAGTTTGTAATGGGGTTTGCGTTCTCTTGTCTCACAGGCTCACCGTTACTTATTGGACTTTTCAAGTACAGTGATTGGCGTTGGCGTATCAAGGCTGCATTATCGATGGAGGAGGGCAAGATACAGCAAGGTGCCATCTGACTGGAGTTTGCCTTGACCTTGATAGAGACTACAACGAATGCTATCAGGATGTTCACTCGAACCGTATTGGTCTAGTTTGTCTACGTATAACTAAAAGGCCACCAGTTCGCAGCATGTGGCTGGTAATTTATCCTATCGCCTCCATGTTTCTCACCGTCACCGCTCCACACTTGACCGACGCCACCTGAGATCGCATCTAGCAGGCTGGAGATCTCACGTGCGGATTCTCACTCCACACCGCTACAAACTTCAAGGATATAGTCTGGTGATGGCAAATTGAGGCGGTTTGTAGCGACACCACAGGCTCTACAGAGTGACCCAAAGCTAACTTTTCTAAGTAAATACTAGCAATAAGCAAGTTATTGTTTCAGGGACACGAGCGCCTGCAACTCGGTCACCGTGGTCTAACAAAGCCGGGATCATGATGAGCAATCGGAGCACTTGATCACGATAACGATGTGCTCCAGATCCTCGAGAATTAGTATCTTTTGACGATGACAGCAGGACGAGGCGAGCCAGGCGCCGGAAGCGTCAGCAAAACACGCGCGGGCTACCGCTGGAAGGTAGTGCGTGAGTTGTCCCATGATTTCGTCTCAAATTTCTGTCGTGTAAGATGAAGTGTGAGCTGTGATCAATGCCGTTCTCGGGATGACTTTCCATGGTTGGCACGCTCCAGTACTGCATTTGTTTGGTTGGTGGGCCGCAACCTACGTACCTAGATATTAATGGGGGACCACTGTATATAGATTCAAGCAAGTCCCAATTGCCGCCTAACACCCAAGCGATCTAGGCTACCTAGGTACCTAAGGTAGGTCGGTAATAAACTACGCTTCAAGAAGGCGATTGGGAAGTCAAAGTGTTTGCATTGAGCATCGTTCTGCTACTTCAGCTCGTTCCGTCTCTTCCTCGGTCATCCGTCTGATCTAGTTCATGTCATGCTATATCAGATTGAAGTGATTTTCGCCGAAAACCCGGCTGAACCTCACTGGGAGATCGATGCCCATATTACAGCCTCTTATTTCCCTCACCTCAACTGGGCCCAGCCACAGAACCGTGAGCACACACACGAGATGACATCAAGGCTCACATCCGCACGCCGTCGAAGCATAATAGCATGAGAGGATATCCAAAATCTAGCTTGGGTATCCCGTCAGAGCCCCACACATGCCACCGTCCGCGCCAGATGCCGCATATACCGCAGCCGTTAGGCGTGTCTGGCACCATCTGGCTGCAAGGATCTCCAAAAGCGACACCCTGCAGGCGAGCCACGTAGCACAGGCGGCCAACAGCTTGCATATCTCTCTTTTTCTATCTCTCTGACACGCCGGCCTCCTGCAACCCACACTGCACCCGTACATGCGGGATCTATTATCGCTCGCCACGGGTATACCCACGCTGCCGGCCATTAAGGACAGGGACTGACAGCAAACACGCCGGCCAATTCAGGAACGACCAGTCGGATCCCGTGTCAGAAAAAATTCGGATGGCGTAGGTAGGGGACGTAGGGGCCCAATTTCCCCAATGTGTTCTAGTCTGGATGGTCTGATGAAGCTCGACATCGGCGGTTGTCAGGTTCATTATGGTATAGTTGCCAGCCACGCCTGCCCCATGGGTAGATATGTCATGTCGTGGGACTGGAGTACAAGTGAGACTCGGGCCTCTCTCAAAGAGTCCAGCGACTCTTGTTTCATTCTGACCCCCATTGATCATCTACAAGCATCTAATGCATGTTTCTGAATCTGGCTCCCTGGTTCCATTGTAGTCGTTGGGCCGCCATTCAGAGTGCCCGTTTCGTTGCATTGCTGTACTGTGTAAGTGACAGCTCGTCGAATTTCCGGCTCGTTGCTGCCCCAGTTGTCCAACCGGAAGCAACGTGGCGTCAGTGCAGTCGTCTCCTCCAATTGAGTCAGAGCACGATACTGATCACTTGAGCTTCAGAGTCCCCAATT